TTCTTTATAGTATAATTGATCAATCCATCTATTATAATTTATTTTTAATGTAACACATTACTTCATTTTTACTAATTTCAAAAGATGAGCTTGTCTCTTTTATTATTGTAATTTTAATGAATTTTCCTCATTTCTTATATAAGAACTTATTCATCCTACGTTACTTTAGATAGCTTAAATGCCTTTCTTAAGGTTGCACCACATTTTGTGCTCTGCGTGGGTCTAGCCTGTACGCCTAAAAGATTCGAATCCAGCCCCTATGTACTATGTCGAAGCATTACCCCCTTTACTAAATAGCAATGGTTGCCAATTTTTCACCGAAAAAATATGACTTTTATAACAGGCTAGGTTTTCCTCATATTATATTTTTACCAGGATTATCGATTAAGCTAAAATCACATTATATGCTACTACTTTCATAGTTATTACCAATTTTTGCCTACTATTTTATTTCCTAATGACTAGATAGATTCATTTTTGCAACTTAGCTGCTTTACTATCCATTTTTTAAGAATCTCTCATAGTTTTATTCGCGAAAATATAGTTGATGCGAATTTTTTTGGCAAGTTCGTTTGTTGCACTTGGGAGTTTGTTTAAGTAATTGTATTTGTTCACTCATTGATTTTTTTAACAACCGTATGTATATGTAGTCTAATTTTTATGTAACTATAATTTTATTTTCACCGTTAACCTAGTGAATATTATTAGATAACTTATAAACTAATGAGGCCCACGATTATATTTATTTTTACTTTTTTTTACTAAAATTTAACTATGGTTGCTTAATCTCTATTACCTGATTTTCCTACTAAAATGTTTTGTATAAAAATAATATACGTTTATTCGTCATATTTTATATCTCATTTAACTCTCCACCTAAGTTTTGAATATTAAAGCTTTAACCTGAATTATTTAAATAGGCCTGACTCAGTCTCGTCCTCGGATCGACCTGATTCCTTTCCCGAAGCTTTGCCTTTATCTTGCTCAAAGGGCATCTTTACGACTGAAAATGGAGACGATTTCGGTACTTGGTTTCCTGTCACTTCCTCTCATTGGGACACTATAGTATGCTCCTCTTCTTCGGATCTTTCCACTTCATTTTTGCCCAGAAGTAAAACGAGGTGGCGGCCGCATCGGCTGCATAGTCTTACGACTAGCGGTTGTGTTAATCAATTGGCCTTTGCGCACGGCGATCCTACAGCCTGCAGACTGCCACATCGGGCAGACAAACGCCGTTGCTTGGAGCGTGATGCAGAGGGCGTTACATTGCTTATAGTAGGCTTGGCCTCAGGATTGATCGAAGTCTACAACATAACCTGTCTCAGACAAAAAAAGTACATACTTGATATGCGGTTGCCACCCGTACCCAATCGGCCCCCGCCTGGCTTGGATGGCGACGAACTACCTGCACAAGAAGTTCCCTTTGTAGCCTCTAAGCTGGTCCTTTTGGATGATCATGAGGCTATCCTTCGTCTAGCTGTGGCACCTGATGGCAGCCTCCGTGTGGCTTCGGTCAGTAATGGCGGCACAGTGCGTCTTTGGGACATTTGGGATGATGGCAACATGTACGCTAACCTAGGCCGTCAATTTGCAGTTCTCTCTAGAACAAAATCCGTTTCCCTTCCTGCTGTCTCAGCTTCGCCTTTAATGACAGTGGCTAGTCTAGGCGAGGGTGCATTGACGGATTATTGTTGTTGTGTGGCCTGGCACCCAGGCGGTGAGCATTTGTTCATCGGGGGGGAGAAGGGATATGGTCTGGTACTTGAGGTAAGGAAAATTCAATTAATTAATATTCTAGTGATTAAATTTAACTGCCATTCCTTACCTCGATGCACCTACTGATCACACCTTTTATTAATCTAATGTATTGCGCTTCTGCTTCATTAGCAATCTAATCTGAATTATGTAACCTAAAAATATCCATTGTCATAATTTATTTCTCTGTCATATTTTGGCACTAAATTTTGCTGAATTCTTTCCTGCTAGGCTGATGATCTAATTTTCGTCTTCCACGAAATTTTTTAGACAATAGTCACATCAAAAAATCTAACCGCGTGATTTTGAAATCCATTTAATTCCCTCCACTGACTCAGCTTCTCGCAGCCGAGTCTTACATATCTTATCATTTTCCTATACATTGTCCTTAAGCCCAATACGCCGTACTCGATTTGACAAAACAAGTTTTCTCTCCCATTTTAGACTTCCCTACTCCACTTCACGATCTCCATCTTGTTAAACTGGCATAGTAGGCTTCCTTTTGTGCATCAATATGCCGTATACTGTTGTACTCTCCATCCATATGTTCGTG